TTGCATATTGAAAATACAGAAGTTCACGGAAACCCTTTGTTATATGCACGTCATTTTGAGCCATTTCATATTTCCACTTTATTATACTAAAATTAAATGGACTATAAAAATGCATACCCGAAAGTACTTGTGTAGTTAAAAAAAAATACGTAGGAACAAAAATCGTCGTTCAATCCATTAACTCTGAATTACAAATATACAAAGCATCAGTATATTTTATTACTAAAGTATTTGCAGATTAAATGCGCAACCAATTTTTTAAAGAAAAAATGTGCCCAACGCAGCTGAAGAATGTGACAAATACAGTGTCCATGAGCGATAAGAAACACATTTGGAAACATCAACTCATTCTAATAAAGCTAACGCTCTATATTCCCGATTGATAGCTTCTGCATTTATCATCTCGGCTTAAGGAAATAATTTTATATGTATAGGTACAATATTATTCGTATCGCCAGAGTTTACGGCCTTTGGCTCGAAAGCCGAAACGGCTTTAAAAAATTTCCTTATCAAGGTTCTCTTTCTTGGCAAAATTTAACATTAAATGGTAAAGCATTTAATTTAAAAAATTTAATTTAAATTTCTGTAAAATTGTCTGTAGCAAGAAATACGTATTTCGGCATATGTTCCACAAAAAAAATGTATCTAAAATGGGTATATGATTATTTAAATCTAAAGAGATTCAATATTTGCTTTGGAGATGAAATCACCACAAATTTGTTTAAACCAAAATTGTAAGCGTATATGCAGAAAGTAAATGAGAGCTTCTTCTGCTTGCATTTCTATGTTTATATCATTTATCAATTTAAGCATATACTATAAAAAAGTAAAAAAAAGTAATAATTTTATTGGCGGCTCCGAAGGAAATATTTATTAGTTGTATTGAGTTACGCCAAAATAGTGCCGGCTGCTTCCGAAAGGGCCGAAAGAGGCACAATGCACATTCATTTTCCATCACTGGGCACAAGTATACACGTATATGTATATGGATGTAGTTTGGTAGCTATCTGCCTACGCGGCAGCCTGCGCCTATCTTTCGGCGACTATCTTGTCAGCTGCTGCTGCTGCTGCTGGAGTGGCGGTAGTTGCAATTGCAATTCGCAATAGTAGGCAATATTATTGAGAAACACTACATGCACGCTCCTGCTGCACTCCGATCGTCCAATCATCAATTCTTCCATGCATCCAACTAAATATCCGCTCAATCCATCCAATGCTTCGACGGTTGGCTGATTGGCTGCGTATCTTCTCGATCTGCCTGCGGTTGATGTTGTAAACTAAGCCTACATACAATTGATATTAATTCAATGTGGATTTTTTTCCTTATTTTTATATGTCTGAGCCGATTTTTTTATTTATTTATTTTTTTTTATTTTACTGGTTGTCTTATTTAAGTCTGATTTTAGCATTATCTACAACTGCAACTCCCTTCGCCTGTACATATGTGTGTAGTATGTACGAGTATGTCATCTGCTTGGATCCGGTGCGTTCTTATTATGAGTTCCGTCTCATCAATTTCCTTTTGTTAGCTTGATTTCATCCTATCATGTTTTTCCGCCCATAATACTGTCACATCGACGTTGTTATAGCGCTGTGCTGCCTTTAGGGTTCTTATTATCATAAACTAGTAGAAGTTATTGATCTGCTCTGAGTTCGGCTTGTTTGGCATGCTTGAGGTGGCGAAGAGATGGTATTAAAGACACGTACTTTAACTAGATATGTATGTACTTAAATATACATATGTATATGTATATATGTGCACTAATAACTAAATATTATGAACCTTGAAAGCAAGTTGAGTAACCTCCTGCAACTGCGGAAGAGAAACATTTACGCTCTCCATATATTCCCACTGAACAGTGTCCGTTGATAAAAGCAGCTTATCTGTTTTTGCCTTGTTCAATTGAAACAAACCTGAACCATAGTTCGCTCGAAAATAGTTTGCTGGCTGGCATTTTGGTCAGAACTGATTAACTAAAGATGATTTCCTTTCCTTGCTAGCTCTCATCCGCGATAGAAAGAAAGGAAAACGGAGTGTGCAAGTTGAGCAACTCGGGCAAGTCTAGCAAGGTAAGCAAGTCGGGCGAGTCGAATAGGTCGGGCAAGTCTATTATTGGGCTCGGCCCCTCGGGGAGTAATCGTGGTGGCTATGCGTTACCACCCAAATTCGGTAGAACCGGCCTTGGTTGGTTTAGTGCGGAGTTGCATTTCAACCGGGTGCCGGACCCAAAGTACGGCAGACGCTTTAGGTAAGCTTCGAGCCCTGCTGTCCTGGCAGGTACCTACGTTAAATACCGGCGCATCTGTGCCAGGGAACCCAGACTACATTCTTTGCGGATGGCATAGCCAAATCGTTTAGTTGAAACTATTCCATGTTATATTACTACCTTCGAAGATTTATTGTTGCACTGTAGAGATTAAATTGCAGCCTAGTTGTAAAATAGCGGCTGATCGATTATTTTAATGGAGTAAAGTTCCTAGGGAAGAGAGCAGTCTTCTATATATCTTTTAATTCAGCTCGGAAGACACCGCGGTCCGAATGGATGTTGCTACCGATTTTACTATTTAATTTATAGCCATCGCTGAAGATTAAAATAGAACTAGAGTCAAGCTTTTTACACTTTACCGGTCGCTCATATCGGAGACTTTTGTCGAAAACTTATTATTGAGTTAAAATCCAGAACTATGTAGAATAATCTAGCTAGATATAATATCTAGCATTTTAGAGTCAAAATTTTGCTACCCGCCGGTGCCGGTGTAATGTATACTGTATTTTTACTTTAAAGTTATGGTCACCAAGCGTTACTTTGAAAGACAATTTAAGTTAAATATAGATACTTATTAACTTCGAAATATGTCGAGATATTCAACTAAGTGGTGAATTACATATATTTCGAACATATCTACTGACACATTTTAATGTATTTCTTTTAATAAATGTTAAGTCGATTATGAAGTCGGTGTGGGATGAATCGTTGGGCGCTGAAAGGTGATTGGTATAAAAAATACTCTACACGCTCGAAGCTAACAAATTTCAGCTGCGTCCCTACATGTGGCATCAGTGGTACTAAGTACATTGTACTTACCTATCGCTCAAAATGTCAAGTTACACAAAGATCTACACGTACATACGTAATCTGAGTAAATTCTTATATAATAAGTAATAGATTTTTGTGACACTTTAACATTTTATAGAAGACAAAAACAGATTTCAAGACCAGAAACAAATAGCCAAGATAGAATTTGTTAAGATGACACTTTAGTTTGACGTTATAATAATTATTATAAAAATAATATTTTGACTAAGTGTTTGACCGATCTGTTCCTCCAATTTGTGTAGAACCTCTCGCTGTCGTTACACAAACTGGAAGGACTTACAGTTTTACGCTGTCACCGAACGGCTAATGGATTTTATGAGAGGCTTTTTCATGGCAGAAATACACTCCTGGGTTGACCATTGCCTGCCGAGGGGCGACCGATATAATAAAAAGATGTTTTCTAATTTTGATGTTGTTCGCACCAGGGATCAAAACGAGGTCCTGCGTAGTGGTAGGTCACACCTTCAACCACGCAACCACAGTGGCCGTCATGAACATCCATGAACAGCGACAAACAAATAAACCGATGTTGTCCAAATATCGAGAAGCATAGATAGATGTTTGTGCATTCGATTTTCTCTCAAACCATCGATTATTTACAAAAATCGATGTCAATGGCGCAGCTCTAATCCCGTAGACATGAATGATTGATAATGATGTGTTGTATGAAACGTTCAAAACTTGAATTTATTTTTATAAAAAAAGGACAAATTTCTCTTGACTTTAACATGGCGTTATCATTACAAAATTTCCACATATCCTACAATGCGCTTCATGATCATTTTTTCCATTTTTTATATGCATAACCAGAAGATAATTTAGCTAGGCTACCTTAAGTGAAACCATTCTAAAAAACTTACCCCATAAGGACTGAAAAAGTGCAAGACAGCTCAGCCGCGTATCTGTCCAGCAACTTGTACTATTTTGACATTTTCCTGAAGATAAAAAAAGGAAGATTTTAACAAGATAAACGAAAAAGAAAGAAGGCAAACTCACCGGATATTGTTAAACATGTTAGAAAAAATTTTTCGTTATCGATTTTTGATTACTAATAAGAGAAATCTTAACCTTTTCTTTTTAACAAAAATCTGCCCAAAATTAAATAGGTCTCTGCATTGACCTACATTAAAATAAAAACAGGATAATTTAAGTGAGGACCACGACACCAGGACAATTTGTCTAAACCAGTACAAATCCTGGAAAACCAGGACGTCTGGCAGGCCTAGACAAAGACTGCAATACTTCAGTTCTTCCACAGTCGATGCCCCTAAGATTAGGTATTCGACTACGTTTAGCTTTTATAAGGGGGCTAATAACATCTGAGGCCGTCAAGATAAGGAACCATCAAAGGGATACAAAAGATTCTCTATATTGCGGTGTCCGTTGTTTCTGTTTGACCCAAAAAATTTACATTAGATTATATATTGACATAACTTAGTTTTAAAAATATTTTTTTTGTCCGTTGCTTAATCAGACTTCAAATTAATAGTAGAGTTCACTCGTTGATGCGAAAATGCGAAATACGAAAATTTGCGTTTGTTTTGTTTGCTTTGCTGTGCGTTTGTGCGAAACGGCGCCATAACAGTGCAGCTCTAGTAATATTTTCTTTATATTTGGACGTAAGTAAAGTATACGAAAGTATTGTAAAATTATTCAAAAATTCGTAAATTTAAGTACCTATGTATGTATGTATGTACTTATATAAATTTTTGTGCACTTACCTTTTAAAAATCCTCTATTCAGCTTGGTGGTTCCAAATCGTCTATTTATTTTTAGATTAGTAATAAAGGCACAACTTTAAACATATTTTAGTCAAAAAATGAAAAAGAAAAATAACGCAACACGACGAAAGTGTCTGCAATTCTTTCGTGATCACAATAGTTTTAAATTTCGTTTTTGTTCTTACCAATTCGGCAATTAATTTTCAACCATTTGATCTTGCTATTTGTTTTCTTATTATTTTACCTCCTAAATGTATAATATTCGATGTAAAATCTGAGCCCTATAATATACGATTTAAGTTCAAATAGTATTTTTAATTCGATTTTAATAAAAGCATATTAATTTTTTAAGCATTATTTTTAATTCGTGATCACTATTCGCACAACCTTTTTTTTATAGAATATCCGGAATCACGCAAACCACGCGATATACGCTCTTTCGCAATGCCGAGAACAAATACAAAAAAAACACAAATTGTAGTCGGTTCAGACACCACACAAAAACTAATGAACTTTGCCAATGTTTGTTCGACGCGGTAGACCGGTTTTTTATTCCTATTTCACTTGAATGAATGAAAGATTGCCGCTCATTGCCCAAAGCAAGAATTAATTTTTAGATGTAAGTTTTTTTTTAGTGCTTGATTTTTTCGATTAGTTTTTTAATTATCAATTCAGGCGGAAAAATGCTAACGCCAATCGCGAATGAAACACACCAATCGCGGATGTTCACTACATTTGAAGCAGAATTAGATTTAAATCGTCGTTTAAAGTACAAAACCGCGTATCGTCATTCTGCAAAACCGCGTAACTGACATTGGCTGTCAAAAATTGGATTTGCTTACACAAACTCTTGGCTTAATCCTTATATAGATATATTCCTATATAATCCTAATATAAAATTCTAAACACTTGTAGTCAACAACGTACGTAACATATTGGATATGTTCATACATACATACATACATATGTATTTATTTTAGTATCGTAAGTTAGTAAAATATCGTATTGCAATGTAAACAAATATATTTGAATACCGACGAAAATCGCGCCACCACCATTCATCTATAAGACTACGTCACACAAACGAAAGAGTCGAAACGAGACTAAATTCAGCGCTTCGCAAAAATTTACAGCTCAGTGTATTGTGTGATCATCGCTGACTTCGGGAGCTTATTGTTGGCGGAGCAACGTAGCAAATGTGGAGCCCAGAGTGGAGATGCGAGCGTCATGAATTTGATCTGCTGAGATGCAAACTAGGGTTGTGAAAGATTCAAAAAAATTTATGCATACTTTAGCCAGATGTTTTATTGTGTTTTGTACTGTCACATTTATATGTACATGAACTTTAACATATTTATTGTTTTTTTCCTTTGATTCCTTTTTTTTTGCTTTATTTTCATTTATTTATTTGTTTTCATATTAGTTCATTTTATTTTATCTCAATTTTATTTAACTATTTAAAAATGTAAAATGCATGCTTATTTTTTTTATGAAAAAAATTCTTATTTAATATTCCACCCTAATATCAATCGATACAAAATTAACGTGTAATGCCCGCCAGAGATCACTGAGAAATTTTCAGCAAATGAACGATGCAAAGTGTGCTCTTATGAAGCTCCAACACCTGAACCGGTTGTTAGCGTTCACTGGAGTCAGATTGGAGCTACAAGCTCTCTCACTTTTCTCGACTCCACTGCAACGCTCTTTTCGCGCAATGAAGTAAAAACATACTCCATATATGTATGTATGTACATTAGACTGCATCACCAAAAAAAGTTGGGGATTACAAAATGTATTATATGTTAAGACGTCCACCAAAATATTTCGGAAAAATATTAAGATTTAAGCTAGCTGGACCGATTTGAAAATACCTCTAAAAATGGTGTTTTTTATGAATAAAAATTGTTTCTTAAGGAACTTTTTGAAAAAACAAATTAGGCTTAAAAATTCTGCATACAAATATTTAAAAATCTTTTCAACTAAATCGTAATAATGAGATTTTTGATGCTGTTTTTTTACTTTTTTCAAAGGTTGATTTACGAAAAACTTAAATGACTGGGCCAAAACTATTCTGATATCGGTAGAAAGGTATTTTCCCACTATTTGTATTTATGTGCAAAAAAAGTCATTCATGTCCCAATATTTTTTTTTCAAATACCAACACATCTTAATTCAACTTTGAATGATATTCATTCATCCTACCTTTCTCTTGCATCCTTTGAATGAGTTTATTAGCAAATAAATAAAAACGGTGAGAAAATACCTTTCCAATGATATATCAAAAGTCTAAATCGGAATAGTTTAGGCTCAGTTATTCAAGTTTTTCTTATACCAATCTTTGAAAAAAGTTAAAAACAGCATCAAAAATCTCATTATTTCGATTCCGTTAAAAATTTTTTCTACATTTTTTTAAATTATTTTCTTCCAAATTTTTTAAGCCTTAACCGTTTTGTCATTTTAGGGCATTTTTTCAAAAAAAAACTTTAAGAAACTATTTTTATTCATAAAAAACTCCGTCTTTGGAGGTATTTTCAAATCGGTCCAGCTCACTTAAATCTTAATATTTTTTTTTCGAAATATTTTGGTGGACGTCTTAACTATATAGATTTTATAATTCCAATGGAAAAACAGTTCCGATTTTTTTTTGGTATGGGGAGTGATGCAGTCTAATGTACATACATATATACATACGTACACATATACATAATCGAACTTTACCTACGAATGGGCGAACAACTCCCACTCCCACTCCCACCAATATATGCGCATAAGATTAAAGCGCTCTCACTAACACTAATAGACTCTTTGCATAGCCAAGTATGTAGTTACATACATACATTAGGTTAAGGCGTAGATTAAAAAAATTAAAATTAACAAATGTAATTTAATACCCAAATGCAATACTACTAACTAACTGCGACACACCTTAACCGACTCCAATTGGGGCCAAAATTTATAAGTGATATCTTCGGCTATCGTAGCGTCAACGTAGGGGTTAAGGCTTAGAAAATCTGATGTAAAATTTGCTCCTACATTTAAGGACCAATCTAATGTACATATATGTATATCGACCGTCTGCTTTGTTTATTTATTCCTTGGCGGCATTTTCATGCTGCAAAGTGGTTCTGCCACCCTCTTTAACTATATGTATGGGATAGTAAAGACAAAAACTCGCTTACACAGGTACGCATCTACATACACACCCATATAAAAGTATTTATACATACTTATATGTGATCTTATTAAATGATGTTCAGTTAAATGCGAAGCATCGTGTATATATGTATATATACATACATACATACATACATACATACATACATACATGTGTACATAGTGTGACGCGATCATACCCCGAGCCGTTGAGGACGTTCGTAGACATTAGACTGAGAATATAAAATCAAAATAAAACACGGAATAAACTTTGCTATCAAAATAACAACGCTAAATACTTCAAATGGGAGGTTTTTAATCTTTTGTTTTGGTTGTTGTTATTGTTCTGCGTTGTTTTTTCTTTTATTTCTTTTTTTTTTAATACGTATGTATGTATGAAGTCTTTTTTTCTTGGTATTTGGGTATTCTCTTGCAACTCAATTCGACTCAACCCCACGCAGCATGTCAATGCTTCGTAAATAAAAAAAAAGCTTGTAAAAAGAACGAGGTGACATAGAAAATATAAATAATGAAGAAAAAAGTAATGGCCTCGCTAATCCATTTCAGCACTAGTTGAACTGTTGAACCGTTGAATCCGCTGTGGTTGTTGTTGTGGTTTATTAGGTTTGTTCCACACACTCCCCGGGCTCTCTCGGTAATGCGAGCGTACATAAAAACAATTAAAAAAGTCCAAGTTCGGGCGGAGCCGAACATTAGATACCCGGCGCAAGTAATTAATTTAGTTTTTTTTTCACCTTTCCGAAAAATACCGCTACATGGTAAGCAGGGGTGATTCTACTCCTATTTCAAATATCTTCCATAAACTTATATAGTTCTATGTGTGCCAAGTTATGTGTGAGCATGTGTTAGCCAAGTTATAACAATTTTAAACCAAACTTCGAAACTGCTGTACTAGTTTTTACTCCGAAATTAGAAAATAAAAATTGCCAAAAATGTCGAAGTTTAACTTCAGAATCATAATAATTTAGCTCTCAAAGGGCCTAGAGACTCCCACCTTGGCTTAAATTAAAGGTCTTGAATAGCACTAAAACTGACTTGTTGTTCGAGGGAGATAAAATTGTGTGAAGGATGCACAGCTGCATGCAAATCATAAAAAATGCAATATAGAATGCATTTTTCAAATTGAAGGGTTGACATTTTTTTCGTTTTTTTAACAGTGGAATCGTGTTTCTCTCCTCAAAATTTATAACATTAGTATAATAAAAAATAAAAAAATTTTTTTTTTTTTTAATATATCCGTTGGATTTTGCATGTTTTTCGAAGAACACTACTTTTCACCAATTTTTTTAAGGTCAGCTGTTATGTACGTATTTCAAACTGACTTCTTGCACATTTCTTCCCGGAAAAAAAGTCCGGGCAGTTTCGGGCACCAAGAAGAAGACATTTATATACCATCCATAAGTGGAAGGTATTCGCTCTCTATTACCCACTTTTCTAGCGTGAGGAACGCTTTCTGGGCTGCTTTGAGCACCCGCATTTACCCGCGGCCTCGTGTGCAACAAACCTATTGTGTTCAATTTTTTATTTGGTTTTGAATTATCATACGTGGGCAACAATTTAATTAAGTCGATGCCTTTAAATTACGATCGTTAATAACGTGGATTTCCCGGGCCAGCTGCCAGTTGACTTTCTTCATACTTTGAGGCGCTTTCCCACCTTTCTTTTAAATATTCTATTTTATTGCCTTTATGTCAATAAGCAGTTGCAGGCTGTTGCCCTTAATCGCTACTCTATTCTTGTGTATGTTTGTATATGAGCACATATTTATATACGCATGAGTGTAAGTTCAGAAGCTGAATGCATAGATTAGAACTCCTAAAAATGTACTTGCTTCCCAATGAGTTTTCACCACGAACAGCCTTCAAAGAAGGGCCAGGCAAAATACACACTCACACATAGAACACTTAGGCAGTCTGCACACGGTTTGTATAGCTTTTGCCTTAGCCTCGTGCCTGAGCTAATGGCTGCCTGGCACTGCTGCTTTAAAGTCAACAAAGTGTGATAAGCTCCAGGTGAGGATCCAGAATTGAATTTTGGGGGAGGGATCAGATTTCAGCTAAAAAATATTTAAATACATACATACTTTGTATTATTTAAGAAACTTTTTATTACAGATTTAAATATTGAAATTTCTGACTTCTGTACTTATTGTTGCTATCTCATAAATCCATCTGCAGCGTTGATCATATTTTACTTTTTAAATCCACCAAGTAAAAAGTTGCTGCTAAGTCCACTTTTTCTAAAATTTTTATATTTTTAAAGCAAGAAGCAAGAACAATTCAAAATGCATCGTTTTCTAAAATACACACTTATTTTATTTCTAACCGTTTCTGCTCAGTGATAGGCAAATTTGCTAGGTCCAAAACAGTCACACTGAACCAAAAATCCATCTCTGGATCAAAGAAAAACTTTCCTTATTTTAAGGACGAAATCCGAATGAGTAAAAACTTCTCCCGAATGCGTAATTTTTCTTTGGAATGTGTAAAAACGTACACGAAAATATGGAACCGTGGATTTAATCTATCATTTTGAAGAAATGTTGGCCATGAAAAGAAGATACAACTTCTTTAGTGTTGTTTCATTCCCATTTTTCTTCATTTTGCTGTTTTTCTTCAATTAAGAGAAATTTTTTTTTTGGTGCACAGAAAATGTGATAAGTAACAAATAATATAAAAACGTTTCATTAGAAATTTAAATCTGACCTGACGACTACTATAGAACTATCCAAACACTTTTATTTTTCTCCATATAACTAAGGGTCATCCTAATGTACATATGTATGTAGTACAGTACTAATAGCCAGTTTCAGAAAGGAATTTAAGTCAAAATAATTTTTTATTCAAATTTAATATGAAAACTGACAGAAGGGGAAACATAATATTTTCTCTGTCGTGCCATTTCAAAGCGTGTGCCT